ATCTTGCAATAAACAAAAAACGCCCCCTGCCCAACAACAACAAAGAGCAGGACTATTATTTTTATTGATTTGTTTGTTTGTTTTTGTTTTTTTTTCTCTCGGTGAGTAGATCAAAATTAGAGGGCCTTCCTACTCACTTTGTAAATTTTCTTTCCAAAACTAAAGCTCCTTCTTGGGGCATACCTCAGTGGTAGCATGTTTGACCAGAATGTGTGAAGCCTTGGGTTTGATTTCCAGTGCAGACACACACAAACAACAACAACAACAACAACTACAACAAAACACTACAGAGGCCTAAAGTACCGTGACTGTTACAGTACTGAGTGTTGGCACAGTCGACCTATAGCAGGAGCTAGCCCAACATCAACTGAAGATAAGGGGACTATCTGTAAGGAAATTTCCAGTTCAAAACGCAGTAACAGTGCTATCATGGACCACTGAGGGGCTCATGCCTTCACTGAAAGGACCAAGGAGAAGTGAGACTCCCTGTCTTTGCCGGCATGGACGATGGAGGTGAGGCTCTTGTGCCCCTGCTTTAGAATGTCCCCGGATGCTCACAACTTCTGGGAGGTGGAAAGGGACCGGATTTGCTGTGGGAACTCCACTAGTATTACCACTCGGTTGTCTGTAAACTGTGAAAGCATTTGCACCTGGTCAGCTCCGTTTATTGGCTCTCCTTCTCCAGCACAGCCACACACAGAGACACTTCACCTGCTTGCTTCTGGCAAAACCCCTCATTTTCACAGCTATACTTCCTGGGTTACTAATGTTTTGGCTTGCAGAGATTTCCCAGAAGTGCTCAGGAGACACTTGGTATGAAATTGCTCATGACATTCAGGCCCCAGTTCTAAGCCAAACTTTATGGAGGGCCCTCTAGAAAAATAGAACTCCTACTTAGATCAGAGGGATTAGTGTTCCCCCGTAGGGGTTTAAGATGAGGTCTGAGCCCTGCTGTAGATGAACTCACAGCTGAAACCTAATGTTTCCTTGAGGCAGAACTAGGTTTATCAAATCTTGGACAAGTCTTTATTGCGAATTCCTATAGATTGTGGCAACAGTCACTCTCTCTCTCTCTCTCTCTCTCTCTCTCTCTCTCTCTCTCTCTGTGTGTGTGTGTGTGTGTGTGTGTGTGTGTGTGTGTGTGTGTGTGTGTGTTTTCACACTCCAATATCAGCTTTTATTTGAGCCTAGCAGGCAGTGTTCAGGTGTATAATGTGTGATCGCACACCTCCTCTGTGGCAGAAAAAAAAAAGGCTTTTAATGTATTCAGGACTTGTGTTCAGTAAGTTTTTAAGCAGCAGAGAGCACATTTATAGAGAAATTAATGGTGCAGTTTCTCACCTGTAGTAGAGAAACATATCTTTCTCTATTAAGGTGCTGTGACAGACAAGTCCTCCTGTCATACTGGGAAGACCTCATTCCCTTCCCTGAGTTCCATTTGAGATCCACCCCTCCTCTGAGGTAATTCACCTCTCAGGGTGGCTTTGATCTCAGGCACTCTTTCAGGGTCAGTGGCCAGAGTCACGTGCAGAGAGTAAAGTTGCCCAGAAGTGACATCTCATAGCGGTTACCACAAAGGTCACAAATTCACCCTTAACCTGTTCTTGTCCACTGTAGCCCTTAGTATAAACCATAAATATGAAAAATCAGTTGTCTCGTGTGCCCCACTTTTCAGACTTTCTTGTTTGTGTGTATGCACGTGTGTGTTTGTGCATGTTCATGTACGAGCAGGTACATGTGTGTGAGAGTGTATGTGGAGGTCAGAGGCCAACCTTGGGTGTTGTTCCTCAAGAGCTGTTTTTGGAGACAGGACCTCACGTTGGAACCTAGGGCTAGGCTGCATGACCAATAAGATCCAGGGATCTTTCTAAGTGTGCTTTATCCCTGCCTTTTCATATAGATTCTGGGGATTGAACTTGGGCCATCAGGCTTGTGTATCAAGCACATTACTACTTGAACTATCCTCCAGCCTTGTAGTATTTATAGTTAATACATCTATATGTGTTATGAACCACATAAGCAAAATCATAGCTTTAGGTTTTGTTCTACCTCCACCAGGTGTGTGTGTGTGTGTGTGTGTGTGTGTGTGTGTGTGTGTGTGTACTAGTACACACATGCCAAGGCACAGGTATGGAGATCAGAGCCCAACCTTGAGCCTTGGGCATCAGTCCCTGACTTCCACTTTGTTAAGGGCAGAGTCTCTTGTTTACTGTTGGGAACACCACATTAGCAGACTATGGACTTGTGAAGGTTCGTTTCTCTCTGCCCCCCATCCGACATGGAAGCACTTTTATGTGGATGGGCATAAGAACTCAGGTCTTACAGAAAGGGGGTGGGATGGGAGGGTGGAAGTGGGGGGAGTAGAGGGATTAAAAAACATAATCAGAATATATTGTATGAGAAAAAAATGTTTTTTCAATAAAAGGGGGAAAAAGAGCTCAGGCCTCATACTTGACAAGATGGGCCATCTCTCGAGCCCAAATTTTGTTATTTTAAGTTCACAGTTTACAAGAACTTCAGAGAGAAAATGGAGGGAAAGGCTCTGTGTGTTTTCCCAGATATTGAGCCTTTCTGATTTTGAGGTGATGGTTCTGAAAATTAAACCCAGGGCTTCAGGTTTGCTAAGCATACAGTATACTACCAGTGATACCCCAAATTCTCAATTTCATTGTTAATCATTGTCTAACTGCTTTAATTATATTGCTATTGTTTTTCCCACATTCACTTGGAAAAAATTCCTTATGTTAATATATAAATTATTGCATAAATAATTTATACAAATTATTTTTATAAAATATTTTATATAATAAATTTATTGTATAAAACTCATATAAATAATATACATTATGCTTATTAATGCTTCATTCTTAGCTACATCATATATCACTCCTGTGGTTTATTTGTGTTTTAATAGATTATGGTATATATACATATACTTTTCATTATAGTACTCAAACATTTCTGTGGTCAATTCTAGTTTACTGAGAAACACTGTCACTCAGAACTGAGGTTTGAAGCTGTGGAATCAGAGGGACTTAGGTTCAAAACCTGCCCCCAGCCACTGCCAACTGCTTACCTCTGTGTGTTCCTTTACTTGCCAGTGGTACAGTGTCACAGTGTTACGTCACAGTGTCACAGCATCACAGAGTGTCACAGCATCACAGAGTGTCACAGCACCACAGTGTTATAGTGTCACAGCGTCACAGCATCACAGTGTCATAGCATCAGAGCGTCAGAGCGTCACAGTGTCACAGTGTTACAATGTCATAGTGTTACAGTGTCACAGTTTTACAGTGTCAGAGTTTTACAGCATCAGAGTGTTACAGGGTCACAGTGTTACAGGGTCACAGCATCAAACCCTGTCAAATGAACATTGTGTAAGACAACCCATGTGAAGTAGCTACCTCAGGGCTGTGCAAGAAGCCCTAGTTCAGTTGGTGACTGAACCGTCACCGTCCTTCCTATGCTCATGATGGTTTTCTGTCCTGCTTTGTTGCCCACGCTTACTGAGAGAGTCCGTTGCCACCCTGAGGTTATAGAAACGTTTGCCCACATTTCCTTAAATGTATCTTCATCTTCTATTCTTCTTCTTGCTAATTTAAATGGTCGCCTTCTTAAATCTGTGTTGTTGTTTTTTTTGTTTAGACAGCATCTCACACGGTCCAAGATTGTCCCAAATAGCTGAGGATAACCTTGAACTTCTGACCCTCTGCCTTCACTCCTGGATGCTGAGTTTACATGATTGAGCTGCCATATCCAGTTTATACAGTACTGAGAATGGATCCTAGGATTTCACGAATAAGCACTCTATCAACCGAGCTATGGGTTCAGGCCCCTCTCTCCTGCATTTCATTTCTTCTTGAAATTGTTGATGAATGTAACGGCTTTCCTTAATAGCCTGTGATGAGACAGGACTGTACACTAGGGCACTGGTTGATTGTGTCCTCAAAGTGGCATCCATCCTCCTGTCTCAGCCTCCAGGGCTGTGACACAAGCCCCTATGCCTCATTGGTTAATTTGTAATGTAGATTTTAATATTGCAAGGTCACATTTTTCTGGTGTTCATCTTATTAAAATCTCCTTTCTTCAGTTTTCTTTTGACCCTTCAAAGGAACTCTGGAGAAATTTGGGAATTGGGCTGGTACAAAAGATAGTGAGAACATGGAAATTTTAAGTGTTCCGTATGAGAACATCATATGTCCCCTAGCTTGTGTAAGCCTCCCTTCTGGGTCTCAGAAGGTTTTGGAGTTTTGTTTCTTGCTGAACAGAGCTGACTAATCCATTCTCCAGCAATCTTACGTTGTGGATCTCTCTATCAGCTTTTCTCATCTCATGTTCCTGTTCTCACTGATATTTTTCAAAAGAATGTTCACACCAGTCTTCTGCAAATATTTGCATTTTTTTCATTTAATTACCTGAAACCTCCAGCACAGACGTTAAATGGTGCTTTGTCAGAGCGAAAAGGTTTCCTTTTAATTTTGTTATTGTTTTCGTTTTGCACATCAGTAACTCTAAAGTTGATGAGTTAGAGTCTATTTCATTCCCACTCTGCCGACAGGGAATCTAGGACATCTAGTGGCTAAGTTATCTACTTCAGTCCTGGTTAGGGTTCAAGTCCGTGCCTTGTGGCAGTCCTGCATGCAAGGTCCAGATCCAAAGAGGGAAGGGAGGCTCTTCTTGCAAAAACTTCCTGGGCTCCCTCCTCTTGACGGCTCCACCTGTCTCGCCAAGTCTCGCCGCACGGGGGCGCAGTGTGCACACGCTGCGGGACCTTGGAGTCCAAGTGGCCCGGCAATGGACAGCAGGTGTCAGCAGGAGGCAGCGGCCAAGTGCAGAGAGGGTGTCCGTCCACGGGGAGGGGCTGGAGCGGGCTGCATCGCCCGCAAAGCAGCCTCAAGGATGCAAAGTAGGCGCGGGAGGGCTGTGCCAAGCCATAAAAAGTGGCGGGGAGGGCGGGAGCAGAGCTGGGCACCGGAGGGCGCGGGGCGACAGGACGATGGCCGTGGCTGTGCTGCGGTGAGAGGCACCCAGGGGATCATGAAGGCCAATGGCAGCGCTCTGCTCAATGCCTCACAGCAGGCACCAGGCGGCGGGGAGAGTGAGCTGCCGCGGCCGTCGTGGCTGGCCTCCACACTGGCCTTCATCCTCATCTTCACCATCGTGGTGGACATCCTGGGCAACCTGCTGGTCATCCTGTCTGTGTATCGCAACAAGAAGCTCAGGAATGCAGGTAGGGATTCCTGGCACCTCTCCCAGCCCTAGCACCCCCCTAGTGGGACACCAGGAAAACTTCAGAAAGTCAGCTTCTGGGAAAACAGACTTTGAATCATTTTCCTTCCTAGAGAATATGTGCTCCCTTCTCTTCACCCCGTCCCCCTAAGATGCCTTGTCAGAGATCATCCACAAGTCTTCAGTCCCTAGAGATGGAAAACTTTTAAATGATGTTTGTCTCCTTCAGGAGTGTCTCTTTACTCTTGCTTTCCGATTCTCTGGGTTCATTAGCTAGGGTACCGGTTGAGTAAATTCCTCAAGACACCTTTTCAAATTACATCAACGAACTCATCAATTGTTTGGATTTGCATATAAATCAGTTTTCCCAACTTGGCTAAAATAGAAGATGCATGCATGAGCTGCCAAAATGACAGCCTCTGTTTCTGTTGTCGTCTGTGTAGATTTTTCAGCTTTAATAGCATCCAATCGCAGGGTGGAGGGGATGGTCCTAAGAATGCTGGGGAACCGTCAAAATGACTTTTGCTCTTCAAGCCAACAAGCCTGCATTTTAAAAATGGATTTTGTAGCGAGGGATGCATTTACATATAGTGTAGGACTAGACTTAATTCTGTGCTTGAGTTATAAATTGGGGTTCACTCAAGCAATGAGGTGAAGCAGTTACCCTGGGTAAGGGCAGGTCAGTCAGTTCTTTATGAGCTATGCTTTTTTCCACACTTTAAACGGTGTCAGGTGGCTTGGTTTTCTGTCCCTTGTTTGGAAGTAAACTTTTGGAAGAAGGGTAGAGAGGAAGCCATTCACTCAAATATTTGCCCAAAGTGGTATTTTTGTCCTAAAGCAGGTAGCTGGTGAAAAACGCAAACTCAGACAGAACATCTCTCCCCCTCTGCCCTAGCTTCTGCAACCCTTCAGGCTGTGCAAAGTGTAAGAATTAGTTTGAAGACATCTAATATGACTTCCGTTTGCCTTAGAAAATGGGATGACTTCCTTTCATGAACGAGTGGTTTAAGCTAGAATTCAATCTTCAGGATGCAATAGTTTAGTGGCAGTGTTTGCCCAGCATCGGTAAAGCCCTTAGTCTGATCTCCAACATGGCAATGAATAAATAGTTGGGAGAGCATACTCTCTCCTATAACTAGGAGCCACATGTGGCTGCATGTGGCTCTGAACACCCACACAGAGAATTCTTTGGTCAGCTCAAGGGTGGGGTGTCAGACTTACCCACTTTGCAGAGAGTGATGTATGATGCCCAGTGTCTTGCAGGCTCAGTGACGGGAAGGGCGGATTCTTGGAGCATCTGCCTGGACACCTGCTGTGTGTCACTGGTGTCTGTAACTTACATGTGGGAAGTCTGAATCACACAAGATCTTTCCTGTAAAGAACGTTCACGCTCCTCATGGCTTAGGCACAGTACTTACAACTGTCCTGCCACTTTGGACTTTATTGGCTAAGCAACTCCTTGAGAGGAGAGTCAATATACTGCATTCCCGGCTTTGTACAGAAGACCTTAGGTGAACTTTAATCCATAAAACTTTAGAGCATCATGTTTTTATGATTGGGCTATTTGCTCAAATACGTCACCGAGTTCAAACCATTTGAGGCTTTAAAAAAAATAGTGATTTGGATCAGAGCTAGAGATAGGCGATTCAAATCTGTTGTTAGATGCTTATTAAAAGTTTTATTGATGCTATGTGTCATGGCACATAACAGTGTGTAGAAGGCAGAGCCAAATGGGTCTCTATGAGTTTGAGGCCAGCCTAGTCTATATAGTGAGTTCCAGGCAAACTGGCATTATGTATGAGACCCTGTCTCAAAGCAAATGTTTTAATGACTGCTCAGTTTGTGTATTTGTTCAATTTTTTCATTGGTTTTAAAAGTGGGAAGATAATAAATAGGTGGGAGAGATGGCTCAGTGGTTAACAGCATGGGCTGCTCTTGCAGAGGACCCAGGTTCGGTTCCCAGCACTCACATGTCAGCTCACATCCATCTGTACCTCCAATTCCAGGGGATCCTACACACTCTCCTCACCTCCATGGGCACCAGGCATGTATGTGGTGCACATACCCACATGGAGGCAAACGCTAATCCTCATAAAATAAAAATACATAAATCTTTTCTAAAAAGGGAAATACAGAGAACAGAAAAAAAGATTAGAATGCTAAAACACATGAACTTTCCGATAATTCTTTCCTCTGGAAATCTGGTATAATTGCAGAATTATTTTTAACCTTTTCCTTTTCTCAAGAGACTAGCTTGGCCTTTGATAGCTCTAGGAAGAAATCACCAACACTTAATTAGCTGAGGGGCTGAGCAATCACAACAGGTACCATCTTTAAGCAACCAATCAGATGCTAAAGGTTGACTGACTAGCTGCTCTTTTCCTGTCCAAGTTTTGCAAATGAGAAACAATGCATCTTCAGTGGGTGTAACACAGGAGAAGGATTCCAGAAGTTATGTTCTCACTGTATACATTACAACCCAAGAAATCAGTTGTGGTCCAGCCTTACTTCCCACATCTGTCAGATAGGGATAACGCCTACACTTTAGTCCCACACTATGCACTAATGTAATTGTTGCAAGTATCAGATGAAATGATGCCTGTGAAAATACTTTGAAAAAGATGGAGAAATTAATGCTAGGTAGACATTTGGACTTTATGTTTGGGGTTTTTTGTTTGTTTGGGGTTTTTTTTGGCTTGCTAAAAGGCAGCATTGCAGGCTCTGGCATGGTGCATTTTTCTTTATGTACATTCTACTGAAATAAAACTTGTCCTAAAACAGTGCAACAGCGTCCCGCCTGTTCAAAAGTCAGTTATCGGGCAAGGAAAGCTGTATAGGATGTTCACAAAGGGTGAAAATTAACAAAATGGTCGGCTTCCATGCATAGACAGTTGGGCTCCATAGAACTCAGAATTCTACAAAGTTGTCATGCCGGGGCCTGGATGGCCATGATTGCAAGCAACAAATTGGGGGAACATAGTTGGCACTGTTCTGTGGCCCCAATGAGTCTTTGGAAGCTACCTACCCTACTCTAAGTTCCAAGTCCCCTGGAATTCAACGAGAATCTGACAGAGTGCTAATTGAGGGAGAAAGAAAAGGATTCAAGGGCAAGATGGACAATGGGGAATGGATTTCATGGCAGTAACAGGGTGGAAACACATACAGTTAGCTCCACATATCTCAGTATCATGTATCCAGAGATTCAACTAATGGAGGGTCAAAGACATTGGACATTTGTGGTTTTTGTAACTTCTCCACAAACAGCACAGTGTAAGAAATGTTATATAGAATTTGCAGTTTGGTTTTGCTTTAATTTTCTGGGCTGGGTCTTGAATGGTAGGCTTCAGTGATCCTCCCATCTCCACAGAGTAGCTGGGATGTCAGGCATGTGTCTTAGCGTCCGCTCAGTCAACAACTGTGCTATTCTAGATACCATAAATAATATGATGTAAAGGGCACAGGAAATGTGCATAGTTTTTAATGCAGATGTCATGTCATCTGAATGTAGGGACCTGAGCATCTTTGGAGCTGGGTACCACAGGGTCCGTGGAACCAATCTACTGTGATTATCAAGGTGTAGCTGTATAGTCAGCCATGTGTAGCTTCTCATCAGTCAAATGCTCCTGTGTGGGGACAGTGGTGTCAGGTAATATGGAGAAGTGTGGAAGCTGCTAGAGCGAATGGCCCAGAGTCCGGACTCCAAGGTTTTCACTGTGTTTCTAGATAACACCTCTTCTGTGGGGAAGATCAGTCAGGTGCTTGCCAGTTCTAAAGTCCTTTGATTTCCCCAAATGTATCTTTGGTGAAGACAGCCAACTTATCATAAGTTAGCAAGTTGCCAACTCATATCTACCTCTCTCTTCTGGGGAAAATGGCCCCTTGATGACATCTGCTCTCCCTTTCTTTTTTTTTTTTTTTTTTTTTTTTTTTTTTTTGGTTTTTCGAGACAGGGTTTCTCTGTGTAGCTTTGCACTGGGACTCACTTGGTAGCCCAGGCTGGCCTCGAACTCACAGAGATCCGCCTGGCTCTGCCTCCCGAGTGCTGGGATTAAAGGCGTGCGCCACCACCGCCCGGCAACCTGCTCTCCCTTTCAAGGAACATTTACGAGTTTTAAAAATCCCTCATGCAGTTTTCCCTGCTTGAGAGAGGATGAAGTAGCTGACCACAGAGAATCATTCAAGTTCTCTTCGGTGGGATGCTGTCTGGATGAGAAATTATGGGTGACGTTTGGCAGGATGGGTTAGGGGCTCTGGTGATGAATGAGCCAAGTAAGGGGTGTGTACAAAGAACCAACTCTTATAACTTAGCCAGTTTTGCTGGTTTTGGATGGACCAAGGAGAGAAATTAGAATTGTCATGACTCCATCAAGATGTGTTCACTGGGGAGGAACAGCCGTAGTCAGCAGCCAGCCTGGCCATTCAGTTTATTTAACAATGCTCAAGGAGAAAACAGCAGAGTTGAAGTGCATGTAGTGAGCACATGGCCCTCAGCTGTTTCCCAGGGATAGTGAAAATTAGAGCTTTACTCATGAGAAGCATTTGAAAAATAAAGAACCAAGTGTTCTGTGATGTCTGAAAAGAATACTAGACAAGAGAATAAAATACACACACAAGATAACTGAAAAAAAATCTCAAGAGAAATGTATTTTAAAATAGTAGGTATCTGGGACAATATCTTTAAATCATCTTATATTTTCAGAAATATTTTCCACAAAAATGAATTTTGCTTCTTGCATTTTCTCACTATGAATGTTATGATGGACATCAATTATGAGAGAATCAGAGTATTAGTAAAATACAGCTTCTGGGATGAATTGAAAACAGCAGGCTGATCCAGTTTTTCAATATATCATTTACCTAAATTTGTGGTAAAACTTTACTTTCTTATTGTCTTGACCTATAATTGATTAACAAAAATTGATGGTCATTGTTGATAATTGATTATTTCTGCTTACAATCAAATAATTTATTATATCTATATCCAATCAATGCCAGCAATTA